CACGCCAACAACTGTCACCATGTGCTCCCAGTAGTGCCAAGTACCAGCCTCATACATATAAAGATGATTGCTCTTCTTCTTCTTCTTCTTCTTCTTCTTCTTCTTCTTCTTCTTCTTCTTCTTCTTCTTCTTCTTCTTCTTCTTCTTCTTTACTGTCCCTTTCTGTGACTGCAGTCTAAAACATTAACACCCAGTGACTCGCGAGTCATTACTGGGATGGAAATCTAATAGGGGCAAATTCTAGAAACCTCGTTCAACCGTGTAAGACAGTTGTACTGGGTCGCCTGACTGTGACAAAGTCATGTACTGGTTGGATGCCTCTGTTGAAGTTAACATCACGAGAACCTTCCTCGTCACAATTATCAAGAAATCGTTATCGCTGTTTTTATCAGTCAAATTAGCATCTGCCCTCAAAGAGCTCTTAGCAAGAGTCTTCCAATCCCTTGACACTTCCCGCATCTCCACCCTTTTGCCTCACATGTTTATCACCTGTGCCTCTGATTCGCCAACGTACATGTGTGTCTATATGTTGTGTGTGCTTATGTATGTGTGTGTTTTGTGTGTGTTGTATCCCTCCTTTTCTTTCTTGAATTTCAGTGCAAGGAGATTTACCTTATACTTTCCAAAACAATGTTTTTCCATTCTTGATTTAAACAATGACAACCTAAACAATATATTACACAACTGTAGTGCCTGGCTTAGTTCGCTCTTGTGAGATTCGTTACCACAATCAGAGAATGGGATCTCTCGATTACATGTAAAAAGGATTCGTGATTTGTGCTTCAGTACATGGTGACGTAACTCTTAGTAATTCACCTGACGAGAAACCGCGAAAAATGGCATGCAACAAATTGTGCAATGTATTTGTTTTTGCTCCCATTATTTTAAGCTTTAGTGTTATCATGTTTTCTCCATTTCTGATCTATACAGAGATCCCATTTTTCCCTTCGATCTTCGCGGTTGGTTAGTACTCATTCTAAGCTCGAATTATCGATTCTGAAATTTTTGTATAGTCTTTCTATTCTACGCAGTCATGGAGAATAATAAAACACACACACACACACACACACACACACGCACACACATTTTTTTAGAGCAAACATTTTCAAGACTTGGTAATAATCTAAGATAAGAACAAGCAAGAAACATCAAGGAGAACTAGACGACCAAATGTTTGCTTAAGAAGGAAGTGGTAGGATAAAAGAAAACATCTTGGCAATCACAAATCGATTAATGTCGACATACATAACATTCAAGAGAGCGGCACAAGACAGGCAATTTGTGATGGAATATACCGAACGGTAAAATATTTCATGTTGTTGATGATGATGATGAATTAGTCAGTGAATGAATGAATGAAAATTACTTGTACATGGGTGTGGGTGGAAAGAAAAGAAACAATTTGCTGAAGTAGCTATAGAATCCGTGTATGCAGGTTTCCAGTGTGTCACAGCGCCACTGACCTACTTAGCGTTTGACCTCTGTCACATTCCACTGAAGCACATACACGTATGCTGATCGATCCCTATTTACGTAACCGAGTTCTCAATGAAACGGCTCAATGATCAGTTCCGCTATCTGATTGGTGCAGAATGAGTTAACCCACAAGCTTCTTCCCTAAAAAACATGGCACCCACTTAACTCTTGCTTGCCATAAAATGTTTCCAGAAGCCTGTAGCTGTGTGTCTGCAGTTGTAGAAATCTCGTATGTGTTTTTCCGTCTGTATTTTAGACCAGTGATTCTCAAATGAGGAAATATTTTGACCACAGCGCTTTCCTTTTTAAATGTTGTTCCTTTATGTTTCATGCGTGATTGATTAATAGTGACTGACTGGTTGATTGATATACAATCATAAAATCAATCGAAAGGTGGATAACTTGAACGAAGAAGAAGGAGAAGAAGAAGAAGATGATGATGATGATGAAAAAGAAGAAGAAAAAAAAAGAAGAAGACGCGGAAGGGGAGAAGGAGGAAGAAAAATAATACTGTGAACATGGTGTACAAGATCACAATGTTTAGAACTACTGAACTAACCATTAGGAGGAGGGGTGGCAGGCTTGCCGTTCTCTTTCCTAGAAAAATGAAAATATGTGGTTTGGATAGGGCTTGCACCAGAGTGGGTGGGGAGTTTTGATCTAAACGTCACACTGGGTGCCGTGGGTAGGGAGTTTCGATATAAACGTCATACCGGGTGCCGTGGGTGTGGAGTTTCGATTTAAACGTCACACCGGGTGCCGTGGGTGGGGAGTTTCGATCTAAACGTCACAGTAGGTGCCGTGTGTAGGGAGTTTCGATCTAAACGTCACACTAGGTGCCGTGGGTGGGGAGTGTCGATCTAAACGTCACACTGGGTGCCGTGGGTGGGGAGTTTCGATTTAAACGTCACACTTTGTGCCGTGTAGAAATTCTTGTGTAGTACGAACTCTACGAGGAAATGAACACACTAAGAGAATCCCGTGTTTGGGGGGCGTCCCTTTTTCCTGACCCCAGCATATGATAGATTTTGAGTCCAGGACATTCAGATATATGGGGCAATGATAGATGGACTGCTGCCGCTCTTCTGTGCGATGAGCTACTCTATGATAAATGGGACTTGATGCAGACTCTCTGTGATCAAGTGGACAAAGTAACAGAACAGGGTATGCGCACCTGGAAAAACTAATTTAGCAGGTGAACAGAGGTTCTGGGAGAATTTCAAGGTTGATGGGGAAACAAGTAGACTGCAGCATGTTAACTCTTTGCTGGCTACTGAGGAAAAATAAGGAGCACGTGTGGGAATATGCCGCGCAATGCAGGATGTCAATTCTTGATTCATTTTATTCATTCGTTCGTTGAAAGTTTCGCCACCTTTGTTTTCTAGGTGCTCTCTGTGGCAACCCACCCTCCCCCTCCTACTCTGCCGACCATTGGTCATTGGTAAAGCCCTTATTGATGCATTGTTGTGTGCCCAATTCTGTTCTATGATGTACACTCATTTCGATGTCATCCATGGAATCCACTCCAAAACCGTAGGCCTCAGTTTAATCAGTCCATTTGTTTCCCAGTTCAGTGCCTGGCTATACTGTTTGCTTCTCCTTACGGTGTACCCAATATTCCTCCGTTTCATCATCATCACATAGCAGGTGCTTTGCAGAACGTCGCTCCCTTCACGGTCTGTCTAAAAGATACTCGGTCTATCCCCAGCTCTCCCGCCTCGCGCGCTTCTATACTCAAGGAGTCATTTATATCTTGCGCCCAGCTTCGTGCTGGTCGGTCCCTGCCCCTCCTTCCTGGTACCATGCCTTCTGTTTTAATTAGTATTCCCGTGTTTACCCAGCAGTAAATCAGAAATGGGAAATTTTTTGGGGAGTAAATAATTCTCCGTGCTAACAGTGACACAACATCTGTAGCCAATACGGCTTTAGCTTTATGTAACAACCTAAGATCTCTGCTGAAGTTTAAAGTTTACAGGGAATCGATTTTTTTGCATCGGCCAACTGCTTGCCGAGAGCATGGTACAAAATACGAACGTCGTAGCTCTAGACACGATCCCGGGGATTTGCATACAATTACACTCTTGAACCGAGCAACACACTTTGTGATATGAACCAGCGGCCTACGTGGTTGGAGCTTCAGTTTGTCATCGAAAACCTCTCCATGTTGAATGCTTGTCGGTGTTTCTTGGCTAGGCTAATCTATGCTGGGTCCCGTATGAGTTCTGGGAGCTCTATTGGAGAACAAACAGATGTACTCTGACTCGGAAGGAAACCGCTAATTAGTCGAATCTTAAGACATGCCGAAGAAACGAGGAACCAACAGACTGCGTACACATAAGCCAGATGTGTAAAACGGATGTGCACGCAAAAACTTGAGTTCAGGAAAAAAAAAACTAAAGCCTAGAGGTGGATGAAATACCAGAACTTTCATAACCTGTGAACGCGAAGATAGTAATGTTGCATTCTGGGATTTTAAACATTTGAAAACAATAAATCAACCGAAACGAGAAGTAGAACTAATCAGCTTGAAACCACGCGATCACAAACGAGAAAAAGAACGTTGCGGATAGAAAGCCTTCATCAGCATACATCATGGGTCTTTAGACGTTTCATTGTCAAGAGACTATGAGGCAGTGTCCAGATGGAAACCTGGACTGGGTAAAACAGTCGCACACAGATACACACACACTTTCGGACATACGCAGAACCACGCTGAAGCTTACAGAAAGTTATAGCCGGTTAATATTATGATTCACAACGGAAGTTTGCATCTCTCAACCAGCCAAAAATGATTTGAGGGGGGGGGGGGGTTGAGTGGGTGAACTATAGTCAGTTCATCTATAAACGTGACATTCTTGCAACATGATCACACGAAACAAGAATCTTATAACGATTAAAATATTTTTAAGGACTCTTTGGTAACCTTTTCTCTCAAGACGAATAACATCCCCAGAATGAAAATAGATCACCTCGCATAGTTATTACTGACGGTGGATCGTGGCCAGAATTAGCTTCGTCAAGTCTAGAAATGGTATGGTTAAACACCATGAACTTTTGAGTGAAAGGCAAAATGAGAAAAATCAGAAACTCGGTTGGCTCGGTGACGTCAGATGCTGGTTCTGTGAGAAGGTTTTTACGCCGGAAGTTGGTGGTTGGGGCTGACTCACTCGGTGACGACTGCCTGGGGCCGCGTGTATTCATTCTAGGGGTTGCAGTATCGCCTTAAGTTTATATTTCTATAAAAATTACAAATAAAAAACTAAAAGTCTGAACAATTTGTGTTTATAATTTATATATGAAATATAATTTGAACTTATGTGGTGTTTTAAAAGTGTTAGTTAAATTGTATGAGGAGCATTGATGCTGAGACCCCTAAATGCAGTGTGGACTGGCTGTTGATTGACGTCATGCAACCAGACGACATGCAACCGTCATCTCGGGACAACAACCTCCACAACTTGGCGCTTATGGAAACCAGAAAACAGGCTCCACACCCGAAACTTGCCCAGCTGGGAGGCACAGCAATGACCCTGTCTGGCGAGGAAGACGGCTTGGTGGCGGAGGCCACCCAAAGTTTGCTGGATTTCGCTCAGACCAAGGGACACAGGATTCAAACGGTGACGCACATGACTAAGAATCAACTCGCCGACTTTCTTCGCGATTTTTACATGAAAGTGAAAGTGAAGAACGACGATTCGCTGACTTTGAAGGATTTACGGGCAGGTTTGCATAAGTTCTTTCTTGATGAATGTAATATTGACATTTTACGGGATCGTAGCTTCGAGCCAGCGAACGCAACGTTTGATCTGGCCTTGCGAGCTAATCCACGTAAGTGTCACAGAATGAGGATAGAGATGGACGATTTGAAAAAGATCTATCTCAGCGAAGCTGTGGATACCAACAAACCCGATTCCCTGCAGAACAAGGTGTTTTTCGATATCAGTTTGTATATTTGTAACAAGGGAAAGGAGCATTTTCGCGGCATGAAGAAAAATGATTTCGATGTTTCCACCGACATCCATGGCCGTCGTTATGTGTGGCTGAAGGATAACACGGTGCCCCGGGAAGACGAACTACCCCTCAAACTTAAACTGAAAAGAAGCTTAGACGAGGAACCCCCTGCGTACCAAGTTGGAGACAGGATGTACGAAAGACCAGGTGAGTTATTCCTGTGTGATTTATCAAACATTGTATGTCAGAATTTATGTAAAAACCGACTGACCCAGATATCACCCACCTCTGTTATGTGTTGTCTGCCCTAACTACACACCTTACTTTCGTTACGGCCGCCCGTTCATTTCTCGACTAGCCCTTAAAGCAGCTTTTACAAACAGCTACCTGGCTAAATATTGTTTACTTTACTTTTACAAACAGAATAATTCTATAATATTTCTTCACGTAAAAACAAATTTCAAGTTAAAGGTTTCTGTTCTATTTCAGCATTCCGATTTCCCATAGTTACAGGGTGTTCAGAAATGTCCACAGAAATGGTTAAACAAATCGTGATCGTGCAGAGATTCAACAGCTATACCTGTCATGGTAAATATGGTTGGCATAGCTGAAATTCACAGAACCAGGTTCCTGTGCATATATTGCTAAATAGGCTGCCACCCATTACTTACACAAGGACTAACTGGGGTCCCTTTAACTCTTAGTCTTTAAGTGCAAGTTTCTTGTTAATGGGAAACTGCTTTGGGGGGAGTGTAAAGTAGAAGAAAAACATTACATTTTTCACATAGTTGAAATCATAGGTGCAGAAACCTAGGCACTCAGACCCATTAAGGTCCCCTCACAGTTTTTGTTGTTGTTGGTTTGGGGGGGGGGGGGGGGTATACTTGATATATACCCATCCTAGCACACTCTGTCACTAGATACATGTGCTTTGTTTCATTACACCATATACTTGATATTCCTCTCCTCTCCTGTGAGCTGTAATACGGTCAATGACTGGTCGACCAACAGTGGTGCCAGGAAGTGTTCTGGGAAGTATTGGCGGCTGAGGGGATATTCATTGAGTGTTGATAAGTCTTTACAAGTGTAATTTCAGCACAGTATACCCATTACAATTTGGGGGGGGGGGGTCTTAACTTTTACAGTGTAGCACAACCATACAAGGCAAGAGGCTGACCAAGAAATAGATGGATGGAGGATGTAAAAGCAACACTTCAAAAATGCAGTATGACATGAACACAAACTATGCAACTAGCAAAAGACAGGAAACTACATATTGCCGCTCTCTGTGATGCTTTGTAGCATAAGCAGTAGGACACAGGAAGAAGAAGAAAAAACACAACCAATCTATTGGTTACAGTCAAGCCATGCACTTATCATGCCCTGGCATAACACGGTTTTGTATGAGGGTCCTACGCCGAACTGCTGGCCGAGTGGTTAGAGATCTGGCTGTCATGTGGGAGGCTTTGGTTCAATCCTTAGTGAGGGATGGACTCAAAAACAGCTGACCGTTTTTGCCTGAGCTGTTTTCAACAAAAAGTAATCCAGACAACAATATTTATAGTCTGGTGCAATCTTTCACAGGACTTGTCTGCGTAGGGACAGATTATCCTCATTATACATCAAACCATTCAGTTCATAAGTAATCAGATCCCCTCCTCAGTAAATCCCGCAGCGTGTAGCGGCTGACGACACTCTTGTCTGTGTTGGTTTGTTATTCTTCCTCGGCTTACCCCCCCCCCCCCCCCCCCCATTGTGTTCTTGTCTGACCACACCCCTTATAAGAGGTTGTTGCTGCAGTCTGGTCCTGGTTACAGATTCACATTGTGTGGACTGGTATCCTTAATAATTTTTCATGCATCTGTGGGTAAAGGCTCAGGCTGAAATGTTTGGTTGTTTATTTGTGGGTTTGTCCTGCTCCCACTTTGTTGACATACATTTCTCTTGTCTGCCCATCCTCCTGACAAAATTCTAGTTTTTTCAACACAGTTCTGACCATCAAGATCTGTTTTATTTCATTGTGTTGACATTTGAGAGATGTCTTAATTTTTTTCCCATTGAGGTCAGCCTGGTTGTGCACTGCAGCTTTGGTACGTTTTATGCTATCTTCTGCAAATCCTCTATCTTCATCATCATTGTTCTGTTGCACCAATTAATGTCACCTGGGACTGACAGTCTTTTCCCCATTTTTTTCTGTCCTGTACAATCCCTTTCACATCATAGAGGGAATCCAGCCTAGCATCTGTGGTCTGTCTCATCAAAATTAGGGTTGCTTTTGGATTCATTTTTGCTTTATTAATCTCTTTATTTTCCATTTTAGTGTCTGCTTGGTGATTCTTTGCTCTTTTCTTCTCAGCCTGTGTCCAGTAAAGCACCATCTTCTCAGCCTGTGTCCAGTAAAGCACCATCTTCTCAGCCTGTGTCCAGTATAGCACCATCTTCTCAGCCTGTGTCCACTATAGCGCCATCTTCTCAGTCTGTGTCCACTATAGCGCCATCTTCTCAGCCTGTGTCCACTATAGCGCCATCTTCTCAGTCTGTGTCCAGTATAGCACCATCTTCTCAGTCTGTGTCCACTATAGCACCATCTTCTCAGCCTGTGTCCACTATAGCGCCATCTTCTCAGTCTGTGTCCAGTATAGCACCATCTTCTCAGTCTGTGTCCAGTATAGCGCCATATTCTCAGTCTGTGTCCAGTATAGCATCATGTTCTCAGTCTGTGTCCAGTATAGCACCATGTTCTCAGTCTGTGTCCAGTATAGCACCATGTTCTCAGTCTGTGTCCAGTATAGCACCATCTTCTCAGTCTGTGTCCAGTATAGCACCATCTTCTCAGTCTGTATCCAGTATAGCGCCATCTTCTCTGTCTTATGACTGTTGGTACTAGCGGCTGCCTATTCATTTCTCTGATTTATTTCTTCATCCCTTTTGAATTCCTCCCATTTTATGTGAAGTATGTTCCTCAGGCTTTTGTTTTTAAATACATTTAACTTTGGTCCCATGTCTTTAGAGGTTCTCCAACTGTTACTGACATACACTCACATTGAAGTGACATTAGAATGACATTAGAATGGACAATAAGTAACTTAATTTTAAAACTATACAAGAGTTACATGTTTTGTTCAGGTTTTTAAAAGCTGCTTATACCTTGCAATGGGTGTCATTGTTACATCTAGTTCTTGATCTATTATTGGTGTCCTCTGTATATTTGTTTGTTCATAACTTTCATTTTTTGTTGTTGTCCAACCTTTGATGCAGAACCAGTTATGGTACATAAGAATTAGACCTAATGATGTTTAATCAGACCATAGCATGTTGTTTAGAATATATGTTTGTATAATTTGTTGCACATACTGAAGAGCTACTCAGCATGTGCACTATAACCACGCTCATTTCTGGTCTAGTTTTTTTCTTGTTGTGTGTGTTATGTAATTTTCCTGTTTGTGGCTGAGGATTCTTGTTATTGTTTTAGGTTTGATAAAGACTTTGGTTGAAATGGTCAGTTGTATTTCTGCATGGTTTTCAAAAGCTCTTCACTGAACTTCACATAGCTATTCCCCTATGTGAATACTGTGTGACTCTATGAGTATGATCCAGGGGGTGGAGGCTGGCTGCACACACAGGTAGTGGATTGTCACTGCAAAGGTCCACAGAGGGTGGAGTTACCTTTTCTTTTATCCTATAGCAGGCAGGTGTTGTTGGCAGTGAAAGAGCAGATAGACTGGCGGCAGTGCCATAACTGCAGGTGGTTGGCCTATGGATCATGCTGGCATTATCAGTGCCGATTGAGAGAGAGGATGATTAAAGGATTTTGAGGACTGCGAGTCCACATGACTGGTAAGAGTTGGGAATCAAGATTGGCACAGCCAGGCATGAGAGGCACACCAGATGTACAAGTAGTCTTGTCAACCAACATAAAGCTAGCCATATTAACCATTGGTTGGATGCTGATATATGTGTTTGGGGGTGGGGGGAATCTGATCACCAATCAACATGTCCGGAGTGCTGTAAGGATAACACAACTCAAGACTCATCATTAAGCTTCCTAGTCTTAGTTTGTGTTGTGTGAATTCATTTCTTGGGTTGACATTGTTGTAGTCTGTCTTTATCTTTGTGAACATATGCTGTTACCATACCCAAAAGTTGCTACAGAACACGTACATGTACTGATACCATACCCAAAAGTTGCTACAGAACACATACATGTACTGATACCATACCCAAAAGTTGCTACAGAACACGTACATGTACTGATACCATACCCAAAAGTTGCTACAGAACACATACATGTACTGATACCATACCCAAAAGTTGCTACAGAACACATACATGTGCTGTTATCATACTTAAAACTTGCTACAGAACACATACATGTGCTGTTATCATACTTAAAACTTGCTACAGAACACATACATGTGCTGTTATCATACTTAAAACTTGCTACATAACACATACATGTGCTGTTATCATACTTAAAACTTGCTACATAACACATACATGTGCTGTTACCATACTGAAAACTTGCTACAGAACACTTACATGTACTGATACCATACTGAAAACTTGCTACAGAACACATACATGTACTGATACCATACCCAAAACTTGCTACAGAACACATACATGTACTGATACCATACCCAAAACTTGCTACAGAACACATACATGTACTGATACCATACCCAAAACTTGCTACAGAACACATACATGTACTGATACCATACCCAAAACTTGCTACAGAACACATACATGTACTGATACCATACCCAAAACTTGCTACAGAACACATACATGTGCTGATACCATACCCAAAACTTGCTACAGAACACATACATGTACTGATACCATACCCAAAACTTGCTACAGAACACATACATGTACTGATAGCATACCCAAAACTTGCTACAGAACACATACATGTACTGATACCATACCCAAAACTTGCTACAGAACACATACATGTACTGATACCATACCCAAAACTTGCTGCAGAATATATACGTGTACTGATAACATACCCAAAACTTGCTGCAGAACACTTACATGTGCTGATACTATACTCAAAACTTGCTACAGAACACATACATGTACTGATACCATACCCAAAACTTGCTGCAGAATACATACGTGTACTATTTCCAACCCCCAAACTTGCTACAAACAGAAAACTACTGTCAGTCTTCCCAACGGTACCACTCAGCTTCACTATATGATACAAGACATCAAGCTACAGTAGAGATGTGCCAGTGTTCATTAGCTATGTTCATTATAGCTAGTTATGAACTGTGATTGATGAAGTAGAGGACATAACTGTGTAATATCTCCTGCCTTTGAAGTCATGATATTTGACAGATTATGTGCCCTTAGATAAACTCTGCTTGCTTCCTCTAATTAGGAGATCCACGCTGTCCTCTGTCGTCATTCCTGAAGTACGTGACACACCTGCACCCAATGACTGATGCCTTCTGGCAAAGGCCCAAGCGTAGTGTCTCCCAGTCGGACTATGTCTGGTACGATCATGCTCCACTAGGAAGTAGCACACTGACCAAGATCATGCAGAGAATCTCACTACAAGCTGGTAAGGGTTTGGAAGATGTTTGTTGTCTACTTCTTTTAGCTTTTTCTTCTGCTTGGACTTCTCATCACCATTTTCCTGCTTCTTCTTCTTTCTTCTTCTTCTTTTTCTTCTTCATTTTCTTCTTCTTCTTCTTCTTCTTCTTCTTCTTCTTCTTTTTGTCTTCTTTTTATTCTTCTATTATTATTATTATTACTGGTCAGATCAGCCTTCACTTTGCCCATCCATGCGTAGTTAAGGTCTCAGATAACCACATTTGTATGTATCAGGTATATGTGTATTACATTTTAAATAACCAGCTTTGAGTACCTCAAGTATCAATACTGAATCTTTTGTCATTTAAATCTCAGATAACAATTAATGGACACCTTAACTAGTCAAAGCATAGCTCAAGTCTGAAATAGTCAGTGCTTAACCAATCAAAGCATAGCTCAAGTCTGAAATAGTCAGTGCTTAACCAATCAAAGCATAGCTCAAGTCTGAAATAGTCAGTGCTTAACCAATCAAAGCATAGCTCAAGTCTGAAATAGTCAGTGCTTAACCAATCAAAGCATAGCTCAAGTCTGAAATAGTCAGTGCTTAACCAATCAAAGCATAGCTCAAGTCTGAAATAGTCAGTGCTTAACCAATCAAAGCATAGCTCAAGTCTGAAATAGTCAGTGCTTAACCAATCAAAGCATAGCTCAAGTCTGAAATAGTCAGTGCTTAACCAATCAAAGTATAGCTCAAGTCTGAAATAGTCAGTGCTTAACCAATCAAAGCATAGCTCAAGTCTGAAATAGTCAGTGCTTAACCAATCAAAGCATAGCTCAAGTCTGAAATAGTCAGTGCTTAACCAATCAAAGCATAGCTCAAGTCTGAAATAGTCAGTGCTTAACCAATCAAAGCATAGCTCAAGTCTGAAATAGTCAGTGCTTAACCAATCAAAGCATAGCTCAAGTCTGAAATAGTCAGTGCTTAACCAATCAAAGCATAGCTCAAGTCTGAAATAGTCAGTGCTTAACCAATCAAAGCATAGCTCAAGTCTGAAATAGTCAGTGCTTAACCAATCAAAGCATAGCTCAAGTCTGAAATAGTCAGTGCTTAACCAATAAAAGCATATCTCAAGCCTGCCATAGCCAGTGGCATATACCTCAGGTCTCAAATAGCCAGTTTTCCTGTTCATTTAGGGACTCTAATCTGGGAAGAAAATAATCAATCCACTTAACAAAAATGGTGTGAAAGGTAGCTAGTTACATATTTGTTGAAATCAGAAATGTGCTAAAAGCTGCAGATATTGTAGATAGCTGTAGACAACAAAACACCATGTCAGCTGCTCGTTTGAGAGAAAATGAAGAAGAAGAAGAAGACCCAGCTACAGATAACCTGTAATTTGTATATAAATTTATAGGTTTTCACTTTTCTTGAAAATTTTTATAATCAGTCATTGCTTTTCTTTTTTCTAGGATTGAGCGACAACTACACAAATTATTCCATTCGCTCTGCTTGCATCCCATTGGTGGAGGCTGTATGTGAGGAGGCGCTGCAGGCGGAGAATGGAGGAGCACCACCCACTAATTTGATTTCATCTGTGGATATCATTAAGCCAGCTGGTATGTGTTATTGCTTGTTCCTTTCTTGTTGACTGCAGTTAAATTACTATTGTATGTCGTCTTCACAGTGGTTAATACAGTGTACCCACTACTGCCTTTGGGAATATTACATGGTATAGCCTTAATCTCTTCCAAGGTGCAACTCTCGTAACGTTGACCAAACGCCAAGAATCTGGGAAGCAAACCCTTGTGCTCAAAGATCATAAAATGTTAACACATTCACTAATCTCTAAGCCAGGGCTATTTAACTGGCGACCAGTGGGTCAGATCTGGGTCGTGAAGGCCTAGCAATTGGCCTGCCGATCGTTGCCAGATCAGTGAAATGTAGTAATTTAAAAAAAAAATTTTTTTTAATTCTGTAAAAGCTTCAAAAACCAGTTGTGACGAATATGTCGGTAGGAAATGTTTATCAGCAATCTGTAAGCATGGGAAGAAGAGCTACAGGTAAACACCCACTAGCATAGGAACAGAAAGTACCACAACTGGGCGATATGTCTCATGCATGGGTCAAAGTTCAAATAGTTAGGAGACCTCGCCTGTTGGAAGCCAAAGGTAATGTGATAGGATAGAAAAAAAATCAAGTAACGTATGAAAGCGACCGCTCTACAAGACAGTCAATGAAGGTGAGATATTTATTGGACAAGAGGACATATAAAAATACCAACAGGGTCCTGATAGTTAGCACTTAGATTACTGAAAAACTTGCCACTGGTAAACACAAACTAATGGCCTGGGTGATGGGTGCTGCAGGACACTTGTGACACTGGGTGATTGGACACTCGCAGAACACCTGCTAGTGATCTTGTTATCAGATTATAATCAAATTTTCTCGAACATCCTGTCACACACAGGTCACTGCCTGACCGTAGATTGTTTAGTTAAATGCTTGATGCCATGGCTAGTACTAGTAAGAGAGGAAAGTGGGAATGTGAAAATCGTTCATTCAACAATGACTGGATACTGAAATATTTATTTCTATCATTGACTATGCCTCAAATGAAGCCAGTGTGTTTGCTGTCCAATAGATGTGCGTAGGCAGTAAAGAAGACAACATGAAGCGGCAGTTCAGAACAAAACATTCAGATTGAGGAAAACTGTATACAGAAGCTTTCACTGCTAGGATTGTCATGAGAATTGTTCTGACTTGACTTCAAACAGTTACATTTTATCAAATTAGCTCAAAAACGGAAATGCAACTTTCTCCCGTTAATGAAATTTTACCTAGATATAACTTTGAATTTCTTCTGCACAAAGCCATATGAAACAGGGGACAGTTATTATTAATATGATAATAACAACTGAAGTGACAACGCTAACGCGTATTTATAATTCCAACGGCAAGTTCGAAATGCGTATGTTTCAATAAAAAGTGAGTATAAATGAATCACTGCAAAAGATTGTAGTACTTACATCATAATGGTTTATGTCACTGTTTCATTTATATTACCTTAGGTTACGCCCTAAGGCTAGTATTAACAATTTAAGAGTTTATTAAAGTTACACATTGATAATTGTGTCCATTGTATTGTGTGTGTTTGTGTAATCTTTCCACATTTGGGCTCAGGTCACTGACCCGTGACAATCCTCATTTTCAAATTTCTCATTGTTTGCTGATGATGGCTTGTCACCACAACGTCTTTTTGTTTACTGGATTGTGTTCATTGTAAAGCTGGCATTCACTTCATTTGGTGTCAAATATTTTTATTTTAGGCATTTACATGCTCTGTGTCTTTTTTCTAAGAGTTGCTGGAGTAAAAGGGCTCATGAATGTCTGTTTTCTTTGTGTGATGTTGATATATTACTGGTTGAATGTCTGTTGTCTTTGTATAATGTTGATATATTACTGGTTGAATGTCTGTTGTCTTTGTATAATGTTGATATATTACTGGTTGAATGTCTGTTGTCTTTGTATAATGTTGATATATTACTGGTTGAATGTCTGTTGTCTTTGTATAATGTTGATATATTACTGGTTGAATGTATGTTGTCTTTGTATAATGTTGATATATTACTGGTTGAATGTCTGTTGTCTTTGTATAATGTTGATATATTACTGGTTGAATGTCTGTTGTCTTTGTATAATGTTGATATATTACTGGTTGAATGTCTGTTGTCTTTGTATAATGTTGATATATTACTGGTTGAATGTCTGTTGTCTTTGTATAATGTTGAAATATTACTGGTTGAATGTCTGTTGTCTTTGTATAATGTTGATATATTACTGGTTGAATGTATGTTGTCTTTGTATAATGTTGATATATTACTGGTTGAATGTCTGTTGTCTTTGTATAATGTTGATATATTACTGATTGACTGTCTGTTGTCTTTGTGTGATGCGGATATATTACTGGTTGAATGTCTGTTGTCTTTGTGTGATGTTGATATAACACTGGCTAAATATCTGTTGTCATTGTGTGATGTTGATATAACACTGGCTAAATATCTGTTGTCATTGTGTGATGTTGATATAACACTGGCTAAATATCTGTTGTCATTGTGTGATATGGATGTATTACTGATTGAATGTCTGTTGTCTTTGTGTGACGTGGATATATTACTGGTTGAATGTCTGTTGTCTTTATGTGATGTGGATATATTACTGGCTAAATATCTGTTGTCATTGTGTGATGTGGATATATTACTGATTGAATGTCTGTTGTCTTTGTGTGATGTGGATATATTACTGGTTGAATGTCTGTTGTCTTTGTGTGATGTTGATATAACAATGGCTAAATATCTGTTGTCATTGTGTGATGTTGATATAACACTGGCTAAATATCTGTTGTCATTGTGTGATGTTGATGTAACACTGGCTAAATATCTGTTGTCATTGTGTGATGTTGATATAACACTGGCTAAATATCTGTTGTCATTGTGTGATGTTGATATAACACTGGCTAAATATCTGTTGTCGTTGTGTGATGTTGATGTAACACTGGCTAAATATCTGATGTCATTGTGTGATGTTGATGTAACACAGGCTAAATATCTGTTGTCATTGTGTGATGTTGATATCACTGGCTAAATATTTGTTGTCATTGTGTGATGTTGATATAACACTGGCTAAATATCTGTTGTCATTGTGTGATGTTGATATAACACTGGCTAAATATCTGTTGTCATTGTGTGATGTTGATATAACACTGGCTAAATATCTGTTGTCATTGTGTGATGTTGATATAACACTGGCTAAATATCTGTTGTCATTGTGTGATGTTGATATAACACTGGCTAAATATCTGTTGTCATTGTGTGATGTTGATATAACACTGGCTAAATATCTGTTGTCATTGTGTGATGTTGATATAACACTGGCTAAATATATGTTGTCATTGTGTGATGTTGATGTAACACTGGCTAAATATCTGATGTCATTGTGTGATGTTGATGTAACACAGGCTAAATATCTGTTGTCATTGTGTGATGTTGATATAACACTGGTTGAATGTCTGTTGTCATTGTGTGATGTGGATGTATTACTGGTTGAATGTCTGTTGTCATTGTGTGATGTGGATGTATTACTGGTTGAATGTCTGTTGTCATTGTGTGATGTGGATATATTACTGGTTGAATGTCTGTTGTCATTGTGTGATGTGGATATATTACTGGTTGAATGTCTGTTGTCATTGTGTGATGTGGATGTATTACTGGTTGAATGTCTGTTGTCATTGTGTGATGTGGATGTATTACTGATTGAATGTCTGTTGTCATTGTGTGATATTGATATATTACTGATTGAATGTCTGTTGTCATTCTAAAGTAAACTAAAAGACTCTTGTTATGTCATCTAGACTCCTGTTTTTATTGACCAATTGGCACTCCGTAAGTGATGTGGTCACCATCTGGACTCCTGTTTTTATAGACCAATTGGCACTCAGTAGGTGATGTGGTCACCTTCTGGACTCCTGTTTTTATAGACCAATTGGCACTCAGTAGGTGATGTGGTCACCATCTAGACTCCTGTTTTTATAGACCAATTGGCACTCAGTAGGTGATGTGGTCACCGTCACACTGGCCACGTTTACTTCACAAGACATTTATTGGTACCAGTTTAAGCTGGTTTGACATGAGAGCTAGGTTTCTCTCCCTTGTCTAATGTGGATATGAACCACGGACCTTCAGGACAGCATGTGAGCCTCTAAGGTACTTTGGCTTCATGTTGTCACTGTGAGATGTTCATTGATTCCTGGTTGAATGTCTATTATCACTGCTTGGTGTTCATTGATTCCTGGCTGAATGTCTATTGTCACTGTGAGGTGTTCATTGATTTCTAGTTGAATGTCTATTGTCACTGTGTGGTGTTCATTGATTCCTGGCTGAATTTCTATTGTCACTGTGAGGTGTTCATTGATTTCTGGTTGAATGTCACTGTGTGGTCTTATTGATTCCTGATTGAATGTCTATTGTCACTGTGAGGTCTTATTGATTCCTGGTTGAATGTCTTTTGTCACTGTGGTCTTATTGGTTCCTGGTTGAATGTCTGTTGTGACTATGAAGTGTTCATTGTCTCCTGGTTAAATGTTTTTTGTCACTGTGGGTGTTCACCAATTCCTGGTTTAATGTCTGCTATATCTTTACTTGTGTAGATGCCCTTATGTCACACTCAGCCTCTGAGGACTTGTCCAGCGATGACAGCATGTCTCAGACACCGGAAGTACACGTCAACAACAAGAACCACGACAACAGAAAACAAGCCATGGGTAAGGACAAGCCACTCGGCATTTCCAAGTCCATGGAGTCTAGCAGCTTTGAAGCTGATGATGCCGACCTTTTGGGTGAGTTCCAGGATTTCATTCTCTTTTGTTATTACTGAAACAAGGACTGTTTGTAGGAGTTGTGTATCCCTGATTTAGGTCAACAAACAGAAGAAGAAATCTATCATTGCTGAACCATTTTACACGGAGAATTCAAAAAACCAACACTTCCAGTTGGGTCCACTTTCCTGTAAATATAATTTTTCCAGCTTGTTTGTAATGACCTGTTTATGAGACTTATGCTGTTGGCTGTTTTTGTGCCTGTGCAATTGTTGGGGGGGAGGGGGGGGGGGGGGGGGGGGTCCTTTGATCTACATGGCCTTTTAAAACCAATTTGTCGTCAGATTTTCTCATAAGCCTCAATGATTGAGGTCACTATGTCCTAACATGAGTCACTAGATCCATGCTTCACCCTATTTGTGTTTATTGTTTACTTTTTTAAATATATATCCTTAAATCCCCCCCCCCCCCCCCACCCCCCAATTTTAAAATTGAGATACATATACAGATGGCAGACTAGATAAAGAGATAGAAGCCAGAGTACATAAGGCAAATGCTATCACCTAGCAGTTAGCCCCACTGCTTAGACACCCAAATGTCTCCCTTCCAGCAAATGCTATCACCTAGCAGTTAGCCCCACTGATTAGACACCCAAATGTCTCCCCTCCAGCAAATGCTATCACCTAGCAGTTAGCCCCACTGCTTAGACACCCAAATGTCTCCCCTCCAGCAAATGCTATCACCTAGCAGTTAGCCCCACTGCTTAGACACCCAAATGTCTCCCCTCCAGCTAATGCTATCACCTAGCAGTTAGCCCCACTGCTTAGACACCCAAATGTCTCCCTTCCAGCAAATGAATAATAGCATTGCTATCCCTACTTTATGTTATTAGTGCCAAACATGGACTGTGAATAGAGCACAAGAACATAAAATAACTACATGTGAAATGCGCTGTCTCCGCAAGGTCACTAACCACACAAAAAGAGACAGGGTTACGCACACCAGCGTTAGAGAAACAGTTGCAATAAGACCATTTCGGGATTATTTTGAAAAAAAATGAAATGGTTCAGTCATCTAGTGAGAATGCAGCATATGAGACATTTTACAGCAGAACATCTGGAAGAAAGGTGAGAGGAAGACCAAGAAAGATATGGATAAATGGTGTAGCTGAAACCTGCAAAAAGATGAAAAAATCCATCACCCGAGAAGCACACGACAAAGACAGAAAACTATAACTCTGGACTACAACCTGGTACCAGTAAGATGATACCAGAAACAGAAAAATAGATACATATATAGTAAACTTGCTTGCTACATACATCCAGTTTTAACATATGGCTGTGAATCCTGGACAATCGGTAGGCAGACCAAACAATTTCTTGAGGCCTCAGAGATGTAGTTTTACAGAAGAATGCTAAGAATGCCTTAGACAGCCAAAAAGAGCAACCAAGAGGTTTTGAAAAAGGCGTGAGCCCGAAGACAACTTATCACAGACCTCAGAAGGAGACAGTCATAATTTTTTCGGCCATTTTTTAAGAAAAGGGAAAATAGAACATGTTGTGACCACTGGAAAGATCTGTGGAAGGAGGGATAGAGGAAGACAACGAGAGAAGATTCTTGACAGTCTTGTTGCATGACATGGAGGTGTGTTGGCACACAAACTCATACATGCTGCAGGAGATTGCAGATAGTGGAGAGGCATGATCGCCCATGCCAGCTGACAAGGCACCTGATGATGATAATGATAGTATACTAATTTATTGGTCACCTAGATGAATTCTTGTTTGAGATATTTTTTTCTAGAATTCAAACAAAACAAGGTCATAATCTATTTATTATTTTCATTTTGTTCCGTGGCAATGGGCTTAACATACGAAGTGGGGCTGATTGTGAGTTTGTTGAAATCAGATCTGTTGTTTCAAAAGGTGCTGATTTCACAACCTACCTATAAATCTATGTATGTATGTGTGTATTGGGTGCCTATGTGTGTGTGTATGTGTGAGTGAATGGGTTTGCATGTGTATGTGGGTGTATGTGTTCGCGCGCGAGCGTGCTCACATATTTTACCACCCATGCTTTTGTTTTTGACTTGATATTCATAGTATGCATAATATTACATGAACACAACATGCTTTATTAATGAAATACAACTGTTGTGTGAAAGATGAGAGTTTGGAAGGGCCGAATGTAAGACAGGCCTGCGTACCTAATGTGTAACCCTTTGAAAATAAAGTTTGTTCGTTCGTTCTCAATATTCCAGCCGCTCTTTTTTAAATTTATGAACACAGAAGAAGATGAATGTAACTAAAAGTGGGCCATTGAGGTGGCACAACCCTGCCATGCACTGACCTTGACATGAGAAGTATTTTCTGCTGTCCACTGACTGACCAGCTCTCAAGGCTGAATCAACTAAGAATCATATGATTATTTTTCTATAGATGTTAGGCTCCAATAGATTGTGCACACTAGCCTCATGTCAAAGCTAGAGGAGGGAAGGCAAAGCTCTACTGTCTTCTCACTACCCACACTGTCTCCTGTACTACCCACACTGTCTCCTGTACTACCCACACTGTCTCCTGTACTACCCACACTGTCTCCTGTACTACCCACACTGTCTCCTGTACTACCCACACTGTCTCCTGTACTACCCACACTGTCTCCTGTGCTACCCACACTGTCTCCTGTACTACCCACACCGTCTCCTGTGCTACCCACACTGTCTCCTGTACTACCCACACTGTCTCCTGTACTACCAACAGGGTCTCCTGTACTACCCACAGGGTCTCCTGTACTACCCACAGGGTCTCCTGTACTACCCACAGGGTATTCTGTACTACCCACACCGTCTCCTGTACTACCCACATGGTCTCCTGTACTACCCACAGGGTCTCCTGTACTACCCACAGGGTCTCCTGTACTATCCACAGGGTCTCTTGTACTACCCACACCGTCTCCTGTACTACCCACAGGGTCTCCTGTACTACCCACAGGGTCTCCTGTACTACCCACACCGTCTCCTGCACTACCCACACCGTCTTCTGTACTACCCACATGGTCTCCTGTACTACCCACACCGTCTCCTGTACTACCCACAGGGTCTCTTGTACTACCCACATGGTCTCCTGTACTACCCACATGGTCTTCTGTACTACCCACACCGTCTCCTGTACTACCCACAGGGTCTCTTGTACTACCCACATGGTCTCCTGTACTACCCACATGGTCTTCTGTACTACCCACACCGTCTCCTGTACTACCCACATGGTCTTCTGTACTACCCACACCGTCTCCTGTACTACCCACAGGGTCTCTTGTACTACCCACATGGTCTCCTGTACTACCCACATGGTCTTCTGTACTACCCACACCGTCTCCTGTACTACCCACAGGGTCTCTTGTACTACCCACATGGTCTCCTGTACTACCCACATGGTCTTCTGTACTACCCACACCGTCTCCTGTACTACCCACAGGGTCTCTTGTACTACCCACATGGTCTCCTGTACTACCCACATGGTCTCCTGTACTACCCACACCGTCTCCTGTACTACCCACAGGGTCTCCTGTACTACCCACAGGGTCTCCTGTACTACCCACAGGGTCTCCTGTACTACCCACAGGGTCTCCTGTACTACCCACATGGTCTCCTGTACTACCCACATGGTCTCCTGTACTACCCACAGGGTCTCCTGTACTACCCACAGGGTCTCCTGTACTACCCACATGGTCTCCTGTACTACCCACACGGTCTCCTGTACTACCCACAGGGTCTCCTGTACTACCAACAGGGTCTCCTGTACTACCCACAGGGTCTCCTGTACTACCCACAGGGTATTCTGTACTACCCACACCGTCTCCTGTACTACCCACATGGTCTCCTGTACTACCCACAGGGTCTCCTGTACTACCCACAGGGTCTCCTGTACTACCCACAGGGTCTCCTGTACTACCCACAGGGTCTCTTGTACTACCCACACCGTCTCCTGTACTACCCACAGGGTCTCCTGTACTACCCACAGGGTCTCCTGTACTACCCACACCGTCTCCTGTACTACCCACACCGTCTCCTGCACTACCCACATGGTCTTCTGTACTACCCACATGGTCTCCTGTACTACCCACACCGTCTCCTGTACTACCCACAGGGTCTCCTGTACTACCCACATGGTCTCCTGTACTACCCACATGGTCTTCTGTACTACCCACATGGTCTCCTGTACTACCCACACCGTCTCCTGTACTACCCACAGGGTCTCCTGTACTACCCACATCGTCTCCTGTACTACCCACAGGGTCTCCTGTACTACCCACATGGTCTCCTGTACTACCCACATGGTCTTCTGTACTACCCACATGGTCTCCTGTACTACCCACATGGTCTTCTGTACTACACACAGGGTCTCTTGTACTACCCACATGGTCTCCTGTACTACCCACACCGTCTCCTGTACTACCCACAGGGTCTCCTGTACTACCCACAGGGTCTCCTGTACTACCCACAGGGTCTCCTGTACTACCCACAGGGTCTCCTGTACTACCCACATGGTCTCCTGTACTACCCACATGGTCTCCTGTACTACCCACAGGGTCTCCTGTACTACCCACAGGGTCTCCTGTACTACCCACATGGTCTCCTGTACTACCCACACGGTCTCCTGTACTACCCACAGGGTCTCCTGTACTACCCACAGGGTCTCCTGTACTACCCACATGGTCTCCTGTACTACCCACATGGTCTCCTGTACTACCCACAGGGTCTCCTGTACTACCCACACGGTCTCCTGTACTACCCACAGGGTCTCCTGTACTACCCACATGGTCTCCTGTACTACCCACAGGGTCTCCTGTACTACCCACAGGGTCTCCTGTACTACCCACATGGTCTCCTGTACTACCCACATGGTCTCCTGTACTACCCACAGGGTCTCCTGTACTACCCACAGGGTCTCCTGTACTACCCACATGGTCTCCTGTACTACCCACATGGTCTCCTGTACTACCCACATGGTCTCCTGTACTACCCACACCGTCTCCTGTACTACCCACATCGTCTCCTGTACTACCCACATCGTCTCCTGTACTACCCACATGGTCTCCTGTACTACCCACATGGTCTCCTGTACTACCCACAGGGTCTCCTGTACTACCCACACGGTCTCCTGTACTACCCACATCGTCTCCTGTACTACCCACATCGTCTCCTGTACTACCCACATGGTCTCCTGTACTACCCACACCGTCTCCTGTACTACCCACACTGTCTCCTGTACTACCCACACGGTCTCCTGTACTACCCACAGGGTCTCCTGTACTACCCACATCGTCTCCTGTACTACCCACAGGGTCTCCTGTATTACCCACATGGTCTCCTGTACTACCCACATCGTCTCCTGTACTACCCACATGGTCTCCTGTACTACCCACAGGGTCTCCTGTACTACCCACATCGTCTCCTGTACTACCCACATCGTCTCCTGTACTACCCACAGGGTCTCCTGTATTACCCACATGTTCTCCTGTACTACCCACATCGTCTCCTGTACTACCCACAGGGTCTCCTGTACTACCCACATGGTCTCCTGTACTACCCACATGGTCTCCTGTACTACCCACACTGTCTCCTGTACTACCCACATCGTCTCCTGTACTACCCACAGGGTCTCCTGTACTACCCACAGGGTCTCCTGTACTGTACTACCCGTACCGTCTCCTGTAGTACCTACACGTTCTGCTGTAATACCCACAGGGTCTTCTGTACTACCCACACGTTCTGCTGTAATACCCACAGGGTCTCCTGTACTACCCACATCGTCTCCTGTACTACCCACACCGTCTCCTGTACTACCTACACCGTCTCCTGTACTACCCACACCGTCTCCTGTACTACCCACACCATCTCCTGTACTAATTCTTTTTTGTTGTTTTTGTTTTCACACTATGATACTTTTGTGTAGCTACAATAAATTATCCTTGAAAATGGCTGCTTTGATGGAAGTGCATCCTGCCAACTTGTGCCTCGTTTTAACTCTGAAGTTTGTCTTTTCTTGTCTATCATAGTTACAGGTGTTATCTGCTTCAGCACTTTGTTTGTTCCGTTTCCTTTATTGATACTAGAGCTGTGGCCTACTGTTTTCATTCATTGTCTGAATGCTGTAGGCTTTTTACAGTCTGCACTTGTTGCACACTTATTCTCTAGCTAGGTTCATCCCTTTATATGTAGGTTCATCCCTTTATATGTAGGTTCATCCCTTTATATGTAGGTTCATCCCTTTATATGTAGGTTCATCCCTTTATATGTAGGTTCATCCCTTTATATGTAGGTTCATCCCTTTATATGTAGGTTTATCCGAGAAAACTGGGAAAGAAATGTTAATGAGATCGAGGGGGGGGGGGGCTATTGTTAGATGTCTTGTTCAGCTATCATTGCTGTGCTTCTATTGTGGCATGGGTCATGCACTTGAGATCTCACCATGAGATCACACATGTAGTTGACATCTGTGGGCCACATAGCCTATTCAGCACAGTCAATAAACAAACAAAACCATCGCCATGTTTGTTCCGGGGCCCCAATTTGAATAAAACAAGAAACAAAACCACTGCCTCCCTCATAAAGGTCGACCAGTTGTGGGTTTCTTTCAAAGTTGGAATGCATCTGCTAGAGAGGCAAGGAACCAACAGTCTGCATACAGATATGACAGATCTGTAAAACGGATATGCCAGTAACACCCACATTCTGGACTAAGACTCAAGTCCACAGGTGAATGAACAACCAGACCTTTCCGGCGGAGCTCACAGCTGCTGAATGCAACAAAGAAGAAGAAACCACAGATTTATGGGGGGTTCAAACCCCAGCATCTTGCAAGCCAGAGCCAAACACAGCTTCTCGTCAGAAAAACTCTCCTCATAATTGTCAACTGTCATGGTTGTAAATGTTGGCAAACTTTGTTTTGTACAGATGGGACACAAGTAATTTAAAAGAAACTTTGAACAAAACAAAAACCATTTTTTTTAAATCCGTGTAACTGGATATGCATTGAAGGAACTTAAAATGTAAATGGAGAGATATCATTTAAATAAGGAACACATTGATTACCTGCTGGTTTTGGTAACTGCAGTTTAGTTGCCAGGTTTCAGAGCCAATTATAGCCAGATTCTTATTGACCTAGTGTTTAACTCTGGGATAAATCTGGCTTGTTGACGCAACCACTGACGTAGGAGGGCCTGGTTGAATGTCACCTGCTGGTTTTAGCAGATGTGAATCACATGTCATTGAGAATGTTTGTTCTGTTCTTCGAGGTCCCCTGCTGCTGTTCACAACACCAAACATGTCACAGTTGTTTGAGGCTATTTTAGGACAGTTTTTTGTGGAAATGTCAGAGTTTGCGTCATTGTCACAAACATAGGACATTGATTTTCTCATGATACTAATGTCAGCACCTCACTTCATGGAGGTGTCATCCTGCTGGCCCATTTGTCTTGAGGTGGAGTCAAGAGGGAGGTGGGGTGGGCTAAGGGAGATTAATGTGTTACACTTGGTACAGCTTCAAATCTCCCTCTTCAATCATTATCTTGCATTACAAATCTGTGATGCAACACCACAAACAAATTGGGGTAAACATTTTGGGAACATGCATCTTTCCTGTTTCAGTGTAGGGATGTGAGTCATTTACCATTTCACAAATACTACAGACAAAAATACAAGTTGTTATACTGTAATTACCTCTGTAGGTTCCAGACCTTATTTGGCCACAATCCCCTAACAAGCGTGTTGTGTGGGGCTTCAAATTTTGATTTGTCGAAACTGGATGAGTTGGGCTTGAGGTGTAGATATTGCAGCCTAGCTGTAAATCACAGTGCAATGTGTCATTCGCCCTTCTAAGAGTAAATACGGAAGAAGATAAAAGATGAGCAAAATTTCTTGTCTGTACTCGCCTACCCAGTGTAATATATTAATTTTTGAGTTCTCCTTTCCAAATTTCTGAGCGGTAATGATAATATCGTGTCGTAATGCCGGGATGCCTGGTTCGATCCCAGCTACGGGCAATGCGCCTTGCGTTGGTTTCCACAGTGGTATCAAGAAAGCCGACCGTCCAGAAGCAATGGCAAACTACTGGACGTAATTTGCCTAGTGAGACCATACAACAGCCAGGGGCTGTTAGGGTTGGTTCTGCAACGTACTGTAAAAAGGATACGCAACTAACTTAATGACGATATCACAAGTATACTTTTTTTTTCACGTGAACTAAAGGAGAAACTGATGGAACATTAAATAGGAACTAAAAATACTGTACCACCTCATTAAATAACTACTAGATAACCCTCTGATTTTTTTAAACTTCAAAATTTGAAGGCATGGAACTCAAGCTTTGGTTTTATTTTTCAAACAGGCCTCATGCAGGCGAAAACTCAAGTGTTGGATCTGATTCGTAGTCTCATGGTCAAGGACATCCAGAAGTTTGTTGATTGGTTGAAAACTGTACGAGTTCAGTACAGTAATGGGGGTGAGTGTTTTGTTGTTGTTGACATTATTGTTTATTTCTTTTCTCTTAGAGTTTATGTGATTTTTATCATTTACTGACATCCTGTGCTACGCTTGTTCTCTGCCTTTTTTCTCTCTGCTATTTTACTTCAGCGAGATCAAAGCATACAAGTATTTGTGTTTAAATAATTAGATGCAGATGGTGAGTGTCTTCTGACATGTAATGAGATAAATAGTTGAGAACTTTGCTGTAACTGTCAAGATTGATTGACAAAGAACTACACAATCAGAAGGCACATGATGATGGTAATAGTCTTCAAATGAAAATAATCACAACAGCAAATAAATAAATTCTGGAAATGGTAGCAACAAGAGAGAACAATCTGGCTGGGAGTTGGTGCGGCCACTCAAAATAAAAACAGTGAAGCTGTCATGGTTGAGTGGCACTCTGAAACAAATGGAATACAACAAGACCGCACAGTAACTCTCTACATTGAGAAGAGGACAGGTTTAACTAATGAACCAATGAAAACCTTTATTAGCAAGACTACACGGTAGCTGTACATATAAAATAGAAAAGGTTTAACTTGACTGAGTTTGCTATCTACATATAGAATAGGAAAGGTTTAACTTGACTGGGGTTCCTGTCTGCAAATAGAATAGGAAAGGTTTAACTTGACTGGGGTTCCTGTCTGCATATAGAATAGGAAAGGTTTAACTTGACTGGGGTTCCTGTCTGCATATAGAATAGGAAAGGTTTAACTTGACTGGGGTTCCTGTCTACATATAGAATAGGAAAGGTTTAATAAAGCTGCTACATGTGGAAAATTGTGAAAGATAACTGAATGAAGTGATTAAATGATATTCTAAAGACCACTTGGTGACCTTGATTTTGTTTACATGTTGACAGAGCTGATAGTTCTGTGCAGTCCAGTGGAGAAGAGCAGCGTTGAGCCAATCCTGGATGATCCGAACTCAGATAGGAACGGCCTGGTACCTCAGGTCAACGATGACGGCCACCCTTTCAAGAAGTCTGGCAGTCTGGACTTGTCCGAGAGGCGATCGTGTCTGAAGAAAGAGTCATCCCTGAAAGATGAAGGTTTTGGAGACAAGTTTGAGTTGCAGGATCTATCAGGAACTACGGTGAAGCATGTGGAATTTAGTTGTCTGTCTGGAGTCTACTGCTCTGCCGAAGAGCTTGGGCCGGTGAAGATCAGCATCCCTTCCCATGATACAGTCCTGGTGACCGGGATTACGGAGAACCTGCAAGTGATGCTACATAAGAAGCGAGGCCCAGTCTTCACCCAGCAGCCATTGCCAGACAGGATCTTCTGTTCAGAGCATGAGATGGATGTGGCAGAAATGGTAGCTATCCTGGAGACTGGCAACCACAGAACCAGGCACCGGAGCATCAACAGCAACATCAGCAGCAGTAGCAGCAGCATCAGCAGCAGTTGTTTGAACAACTACCACATGACAGAGTCCCAGACCAAACACCAGTTAACAGTCCTGCAGAACCATGCTAGTCCCATTATGGTAAGCATCCCAGCAGCCCATTCTCCCACTGTTTCATCCCTCAGTGCCAGAGAGCACTTCAAGGACAACCGGAACAAGTCAGTCGGATGTCTGGACCAGCCCCCACTTATGTCGCAGGGAGCAACTCTGAAACGGGTATCCAGTACTGGAACTCCGGTACTCAAAAGGCAGGCAAATGTGAATGACAGTAGCATGTATCCAGAAAACCTGACAGTCAAGCGTGTCTGCGAAGAGATCCAGGCCACTAACCTGTCCATGAAACCCTTAAAAAAAGTAGAAACAGCAGAGGCTAAAAAAGCCCGGGCTGATCGGCTGTCAGATTCCTTGCGATACCATCAGGAAATCCTCCAGAATTCTCCTCTGATCAAACGGCCAGGTGAGAGAAACTTCTCAGGTTTCCGCCACTGTTATGCCAACACGGTGACCAGTGCAGTCAAAGCAGAACCTCTGGACACATCCTACAGTTGACGCTGAAAGGCCTACTGATCTGGCTCAAGTTTGTCAAAGCAGTACCCCTACTGCTTGTGGTTCCAAGTTTGGAGCCTTGTTTTGGCCCTGGCAGAGACTGTCTGCGGCATTTTGTTGTCAATACGCCATTGTCTATGAACTTGTTTTGGAGCTTGGTCTTGTGATGGTGAGCTGTTGTTGAAGCCAAGGACAAGACCAGCTCATCTGGTGTCAAGCAACTGGTTTGTTTTTCTGTTTGGTGTTTGCATTGGAGTCTTTCAGCATGGAGCACCAAAGCTAAGGTATACATTTCACAAAGTGGAATGTTTCAGAGGAAAGGCACTGTTTTGTGATATCATATGACATGGCCGTTTTACATGTTTACACAACAATTGTTTCTTTTATAAATTGACATAAGCTTTTTCATTGTTAATTTTTGCAATATCTTTGATTTCTTTTTTTTTTTTTTTTTTTTTTTTTTTTTTTTTTTTTTTTTTTTTGGTTAAAAAAACTAGATATTTTATATAATTTTACACAAATAAATATATAACTATGATGGCTTGGTCACAGTTGTGATATTGGCTAGTAGGAGTTTTTGCTACTGTTGCTATCCAAAAAGCATGTGTGGTAATTAGTGCCATTGACATGTACAGAAATATGTATCTCGTATTGATTTCATTTATGTTTCCATGATTAATTTTCAATGATTGAAATCTGTCACCTAGGCTTGCTTGGTTCCCACAGTGGTTTTAAGTATTGTGTTGGACGTTGTGATTTGATGGCAGCAGCGCTGTTGTGAACCAATCAGATTATGGCGTTTGATTCAAGCACACTAGTGTAAACCAATCAGATGTTGGTGTTTGATTCAAGCTCATTAGTGTGAACCAGTCAGATGTTGGTGTTTGATGCGAGCACACTATTGTGAACCAGTCAAACATTGGATTTTGATAGTAGCCCATGCTCTGATGTGAACTAATCAGATGTTGACTTTTGATGGTAGCACATACTCTGTGAAACAATCAAATATTGAAATGTGATATAGCACACACAGTTTTGATCCAATCAGATGTTAGCATGTGATATAGCACACACAGTTTTGATCCAATCAGATGTTAGCATGTGATATAGCACACACAGTTTTGATCCAATCAGATGTTGGCATGTGATATAGCACACACAGTTTTAATCCAATCAGATGTTAGCATGTGATATAGCACACACCATTACGAACCAGTCACATGGTGAATTTTGACGGTATTGTTTTGAATATTGACATAGTGTGAAATATGTTATCCTTGATGTAGTTAGTTTTCTCCAAACATAATGATGGGGACTGTTTGTGTTTATGTTTTCGACAAAGATGGCACATCATCTCTAAAAGGAATAAACTATATTTCCTGCTTTAGGGAAGTCAAAAGTCAAAATAGCTAGGCATAAACTTCTTTCTTGTAAAATAAAATGAAAGCATTTATAACAATTTTTTTTTAAACTTTTGACTTGAGAAGAAAATAAATTATTGGTTTCTCCACTATTTTCAGTTTTTCCTTGTGAAATCCTATATTCCTGTATGTGTGGCAGGATTTTGACTTCACACAGACATATCATATACCAGATTGTAAAAATTGTGGCCATATATCTATTCACCACTGTTCTAGAACATTCCATTTAGTTTCTATTCTTTTCATTTTGTTTGCAGTTGTATCAAATCTCACTAGACATTTTTGTTAATTTTAAAACACTTTCAGAAGAAACATCTTCTGGCACACGAGTTCAGTAATCTTGTTGTTGTTGTTGTTTTCAAAGAGGAGGTAATTGTTATTGCACCGAGCCTGATTACGGCCGAATCAAAACTGTTCCTCATTTTCCCCTCCTCTGATGGCAAGTTTATAGCACTTGCTAAATAACACTGATAATGTTAAAGAATCTGGCTGTTATAATTGTACCATCGTATGCTTGCTTGCAACACTGTATTTGTAAATAAACTGGGGTTGTTGTTTCGGTGTAGATGTCGCGCCAGAAATGTGTGGCTTTTCTCATCCTCCTACATCTGCAGATAACTGGGTAATTTATTGCTAACACTGTATAGAATCCCAGTCGTTGAGCTTGATCTGTTATGGTTGAGTGGACAAGGGTGTGCACTCTGTCACTGTTGAGTGGTCAATGGTGTGTGCACTTTGTCACAGTTGAGTGGACAAGGGTGTGCACTTTGTCACAGTTGAGTGGACAAGGGTGTGCACTTTGTCACAGTTGAGTGGAAAAGGGTGTGCACTTTGTCACCATTGAGTGGACAAGGGTGTGTGCACTTTGTCACCATTGAGTGGACAATGGTGTGTGCACTTTGTCACCGTTGAGTGGACAATGGTGTGTGCACTTTGTCACTGTTGAGTGGACGATGGTGTGTGTACTTTGTCATCGTTGAGTGGACAATGGTGTGTGCACTTTGTCACTGTTGAGTGGACAATGGTGTGTGCACTTCATTGTCATTGAGTGGACAATGGAGTGCACTTTGTCACCGTTGAGTGGACAAGGGTGTGCACTTTGTCACCGTTGAGTGGACAAGGGTGCTGCTCTTGAGACCAAGTTACATTCATTCTCTTGGCTGTTGGTTGTTTCAATATGCAAAATGTGAGCAAGCACACGACCACGTGACCTTAGTTGTCATCCAGTTAAATCTGTATGTGTCATCGAGGCCATTGCTGGCCGGTCGTTGACCTCCTTAGTTCTTGTTATTTACAGTTTTGAAATTTTGTTTGTTTTTTTAATCAATAATTTAGTCATCTAATGACAGTATACACCATTATCTTTTTTTAAAAAGAATTTGTGGGTTAGTTTCACTCGTACTTCCACATTTGCCATGTGCTTGGCGAGAAGGCTGCCTTTTTATCTGTTGTATATATGCCAGTTTTTATTTCTGTAAATTAACAGTCAGTATCTAGCAAAATATTGGATAACAGGGAAGAAATGCCAAACTGGTATATAATTCAAAGGCAGGAAGAAGATACAAATTTCATGTGAAATATTGTTGATGTTCATAATTTTCCTTGTCCTTGCTAAGTTCTCCCCTTTTCCCAACGACGGTCCGCAGAACTTACTTAGGTTGTTTTTTTTTCCAGTTTTTCTTTCTTTCTTATTTTGGAGAAAAAATAGTTCTATAATTTTCTGTTGTTAAATTGTAAATGAGAGTAACATTTCAATAGTTAATGTGATATCATTTAAAAACTGTTGGTTTTGGTTAGACTTGTTTGTATTCGCATCACTGAGGCACTAATAACAGCTGAAATGTGTGATTACATATTTTATTTTATTTTTGCTTTAAAATTTTGATTATGTAGTTTTTTTTTTTTGAATTTGTTAAATAGATCAATATTGAATGAAAAGTGTTCTTCTGCTTGACAATTAGTTATGCTTGTCAAAATATTGAAAATAAACATCATTAACTATCACTGTGATGGTAGGAATCATTTGTGAAAGAAAGAAAAAAACCTGATGTGAGCTGGTCGCCTTTATTGTCCTCCTTACAGTATCTGTTAACATAATTGTTGCTTCCGAAATATATTCCTGAGAGTTATCCCCCATTGTTTGGATGTTTGTTGCCAACAAACTGTAGTAGACAGAGGCGTGCCACTGAAGATACAGAATTTCACAGTTTATTTTGGTTGTCCGTTTCTTGTCATTGATTCAGAAATATTGAGATAGCAATAAGAACTCTCCCCTATTTTTATGTGAATTCCCAACAAAATTTCAAGCGAACCAAATGTGAAAGGTCCGAGGTGTGGCGCTAAAGATTTAAAGCTTTCATTAAATGGTTTTCTCAGAGTTGGACAGTAAATATTTTAGTTGTTCTATTTCTTGTTGTTACACCGGGTGTTTGTACAGTTTTATTTGTCAACTTTTACATTTTTTACCACACACCCAAAAAAAATGTCTTTAAAAAATCAGTGGCTTGTTTGATGTAACAATTGTTACTTTGTTTGATGTAACAGTTGTTACTTTGTGTGTTTATTGCTGCGAGTGATGGCAAAGTTAGCTACAGACTGTGGCTTCTAGTGCCATACTTGCAGGTGGTATCAAACACAGATATCATGTTTTCCCGGTGTTACTGCGTACAGAACCTTTTACCTGTACAAATGGTTTCCTGTACAGATCTTTACGTGTACAGATCTGATTTTATGCATGCATGTTGTGGAGTGTCAACTATAATCACCTGTAGATACAAACAAATATATACATTTTGTTGAACTGGAACATATTCAGTATTCATTAGGGCTTCTAGCATCGACTGCAGCCAAAGTATACAACAGTTAGTGCTTCTAGCATCGACTGCAGCCAAGCTATGGACAGTTAGTGCTTCTAGCATCGACTGCAGCCAAGCTATGGACAGTTAGTGCTTCTAGCATCGACTGCAGCCAAGCTATGGACAGTTAGTGCTTCTAGCATCGACTGCAGCCAAAGTATACAACAGTTAGTGCTTCTAGCATCGACTGCAGCCAAAGTATACAACAGTTAGTGCTTCTAAAAATGACTGCAACAATACTGCACAACAATTAGTTCTTCCGATAATGACAGTAACAAAACTATCTAACTAATAGTTCTTCTGACAATGATCGCAACAAAACTTTCTAACCATTCGAACTTCCAACAGTTGCTGCAACAAAACTTACAACATTCAGTTCTTCTAACAATAGTTCAGTGTTATTTCAATATTAGAAGAGCAGTTTAGAGACCATGTATTTTGGCTGATCAAGTTTCAGAGACCATGTATTTTGGTTGATCAAGTTTCAGAGACCATGTATTTTGGTTGATCAAGTTTCAGAGACCATGTATTTTGGTTGATCAAGTTTCAGAGACCATGTATTTTGGTTGATCAAGTTTCAGAGACCTTGTATTTTGGTTGATCAAGTTTCAGAGACCATGTATTTTGGTTGATCAAGTTTCAGAGACCATGTATTTTGGTTGATCAAGTTTCAGAGACCAAGTGTTTTGGTTAATCAAGTTTCAGAAACCATGTATTTTGGTTGATC